GCTTCTTGGGTCACCAGAGAGAGAAAAGAAGCAGGAGGATAAATAAACAAATCTGCAGTCTTCCTCCTCACATCCCTTTATCAAAAATTTGGTATTTCCTACTGCATATCTGAGAGTTTGTGTGTTCTAAAAGAATGATAGCAAAATACATTATACTTCTGGCTGACCTGAAACCGGGGTGTATATTGACCATCTGAGGATAGAGTGATCTGCAGCCTGGAAATACCAGTGAAGAAAATCAGTGTAGTCACTGAACGAGTGATTTAGAGGAAGAAAGTTGGCAGTCAAATAACGAGATGTTTGAATTCGCAGTTTTGAAGATGGAATGTGTCTAAGTGCGGCTGTCACAAAGAGGAGTTAAATGGAAAGGAAGTGTGGTACACAGGCTCCAAGATCACCAGCAATGACCCTGTCAACTGGCTCATGTCTCTGTGTAGCCCTCCACACTATTAATAAGGACAACTTATGGAAGCAAAGATGATATAGAAAATATGAAATCTGACCTCAAAAGCTAGGTCATAAAGGACATTGTGCCTTGCTCTTTTTGTAATTATTCCTTGCTCTTTATTGAATTACTCATTATGAAAGAAAGCTCAAGCAGTAAAATGGAGAGCTTTGCCTGTTTGCACTGTTTTTCGGGACGCATGAATGATTTGCCTTGAAAACAGATCTTCCAGCCTCAGCTAGGCTTTCAGATCAAAGAAACTGGGGACCTCATCACGACTGCAAGCCCACGAAATACTGACACAGAGTCACCTAGCTAAGACCCTACAGGATTCCTGACACACAGAAACTGTGAAGCAATGCTATTGTTGTTCTAAAATGCTAGTTTTTTCAATAATGTTTTCAGAAAATACACAGTTTTGAAGGCAGAACAGTCTGCTTGCATGGCCTGCGAGAAGAAGCATTCAGATGGAGATCACTAGAGACAATCAGGGCAAGAACCCATGTGTCAAAGTATGGAACAAATCAGCAAATAGGAGCTGACATCACTCAGGATAATGGCAGGTCTTGGAATGAAGAAGAAATTCAAGAGCCCAACTGGATCCAAAGTCTTAGCTGAAACCAAAGTGGTGTGGAGGATGGTGGAGCAGGAATTTTTCTGAGAAGATGAAACAAACATGAGAATGCTGAACCCGAGCCCTGAAAGGGGAGCTGATCCCACCTCACAGCCTCAGTGAACACAGCAATGGACTTGGTGGTAAATGCGTAAGTACCTGGGAGGTTCATCATCCTCTCAGCACAAATCCCATCCTGAGTAGAATTTGGACCTTTTATACTACTTTAAGAACTTTGGTCCAACTACTGCAATAAATTTTCTTACAAATACTAACTTTTGTTTTTCAGATCCTCAAATTTGTAAAACAAGCATGGTTAGCTATTCACAATGTGCAAGACAACATTTCTTAATCCTCTCAAATGAAGTCAAATCTAGTTTAGAGCCATGTCGTGGAACCGCGAAGAGCAGAGGCTATCACTTCTCCTCATTTACCTCTTACGTTTCATCACTCCCTGGCATGACACCAGGACTTAGGCACCAAGCAGTCAGGAAAAGGTGAGAGAGGCCGCCTCTGGTCAGTAGTCCAACTTCATCACCACTGAGATTCATTGATCCGGCCCCTAAGATCTGTTACAAGTAGAAACATTTAACTCTTGCACTGTAGCTTCCAAAGCCATGATGCTTAGTACTCAGTGCCCAGGTGTCTGTGCCCAGACTGTGCTATGGCTGGGCACTCATCCTAGTGGGTACCAGTGTCTTGGCCAATCACAGAACCCACCGCCTCTCTGTGGACAGTGGACGGAGAATCCAACTTTCCCCCTAGGCTGGGACTAACGTCTTCCCCTACAAGCACCAGCCCCCATGTTTCTGTAAGCAATTCAACAGGGATATTTTAAGTATACGTGCAAAAAATATTGTTTGAGGGATTTTACACTCATGATATCTAACTTTGTACTTCTGTTTTTTAAGAAGTATGAATTTTCTCTTGAGACAAAGAAGCACTAAATATAAGAAAACTTGGCTATGCAGTACTCCCTAGAAAAAAGAGAATTTTATTTTTCATCTGCTTGTGAGTGATACCACAACACTAACAAAAAATTTAGCCACAGATGTACACACTAGTGTTTATTTTTTGCCAGCCAATGCAGTGAACATTTACTGGAGTGTATGGCTCTCTCCATATTTCATAGGAACTGCAAGAATATTTATCTTTCTGGTAATGTCTTAATAAGAGAAAAATGCTAGTATGAGTGTGCATGGCTTCCACACACCCATTAAGGGACAGGCATTTATAAAATTTATTCCCCAGGCATGATCTGGAAGTTCCTGCAAAATTTACTATTAACAATAAAATCTTTTCAAACACTGAAATGAAGGTTGCATTAGACAGTATAGATAACCTCTAATTATTCTGAAATTAATAATAACTTTGAACAGTAAAGTTATTGTACATGTAACATTTCATCCACTTGATTAATGTCAGCAATTCTTTCCATGACTAAGGTTAAGAAAGAGTTACATTTTTATTCCTATAATTTCTTAAACATATAGGATCCCTTGGAGGGAGGCTTTTGTTTACTTTTGAGTGTGACATTTTTCAGATACAAAAAGTATATTGACAAATCCAACAAATGCCCACAACAATACCAAGATGGATCAGATATTACCATTTTTCTATATTCTGATCATTACTCTTCTCAAAACAAGAAAGTTCTAGATATACATGGATCTTCCATTCCCTTCTCTGATCCAGCCCCGCCCTACTAGCAAATTACTTCCTGAGACTCCTGCTTCCCATCCTCTTTGTTTTGCATACTTCAAGCCCAAAGAGCTCCCCTTCCATTGTCTCTGGGCATGACGATGGGCTGTATTCTGGATGCCTAAAAAGGAAATGGAAAAATAAAGTCTAACTGTTCCTTAGGAATTTTTTCAATCAATCTCATTCTCAGATTTGGCTCCCTCATTCCCAGAAACATCCACAGGTGCCCATTAAAATTATTTCCAAAGGGAAATCTAATTCTCCAACTCCTGAGCATTTCTGTGACTCTGTGGCTTACTTCTGAGTGTCATTTCCTTCTGCAGGCATTTAGTTTTTGTAATTTAGTCAGACTCATCTATGTGTTCATCATTTCCAACAATTTCATTCGTTTCCAGCATCTTCTGTCTCCTCAGTGTCTGTGCTTTCCAATTTTTATTGCTATTTTATTGTAAACACCACAAATGTAAATATTTGTTTAATCGGTGCTACAGTTTGTCTTTGTCCTCCACAAAACTCATGCTGAAAGGTAATTCTCAGCATTGGGAAGTGTGATATTTGGGAGGTAACTCAGGAGCTTTACCATCATGCATGGGATTCCATCCCCTTATTAAAGAGCTTGATGGAGGAAGTTTGACACCATACTTCCCTGTTCATCTTCTGTCATTTAAGAGCATAGTATTCCTTCTCTTTCCTGGAGGACATAGCTTTCAAGGTGCCATCCTGGAAACAGAGATGGGACGCTCACCAGACAATGAAACTGCCAGGCCCTTGATCTTGCACTTCCCAGACTCCTGAAAGGTGAAAAGTAAATTTTTATTCTTTATAGATTGCATAGTCTGTGATATTTTGTATAATCAATTTAGAGTATAACCTTTGGACTAAGACAATCAATGAGAGATTTTTTCCTATAAGAATAAAGTTTAAAACCACTTATTAATGAATGTAATGGACCAAATGACCAATTTCAAGGAGGACCAGTTTTTAAAGGTCCAGTTTTGGCTATCAAGTACAAGGATAGAACTTTTATAAAGAGTTACTATAAGAAAAAATTCTGCAGATACAAGACTGGATCAGTGGTGGCGGTATTATCTGTACAGCAGAAAATTCACTGTTTCATTTCCAAGTTAACTTCACTAGGCTCTGTTGTGTGATCACTTTCTCCTCCTTAGATTGGGCTCTGCTACCTCACCTTGAATCAGAAAAGTTTTCTTATTACTTCCATTTGTTAAGTACAAGATCGAGACAGTAGACTGAGCTACAATGAGATGATACAGAATGTATAATTAAATGGTTGTGAAACATTTTTACAGCTATCAAGACTGGATCAGTGGTGGCGGTATTATCTGTACAGCAGAAAATTCACTGTTTCATTTCCAAGTTAACTTCACTAGGCTCTGTTGTGTGATCACTTTCTCCTCCTTAGATTGGGCTCTGCTATCTCACCTTGAATCAGAAAAGTTTTCTTATTACTTCCATTTGTTAAGTACAAGATCGAGACAGTAGACTGAGCTACAATGAGATGATACAGAATGTATAATTAAATGGTTGTGAAACATTTTTACAGCTATCATTGGATTCATACTTCTCTTGAGCATTATTCATTCACCATCTATTGCCTCAGCCAATATTTACTGCATGCTCATTATGGGCTAAGCAGTGAGCTAAGAGCTCAGTGTTGCAACATGTGTAAGATTCAGTCTCTGTACCGTCATGCTTATTTCATCCTACTTTGGACAATGTCTTAATACACACCATAGTCATAATTTTTAATTAACAGCATGAAGTAAGAAAGCAATGGTGTTCTTTACTTAATTTAACAGGTGACTAACTTTTTAAACAGTTACTGGGTTTACTATGTTAGCACAATCTACTATGTAACTAAGTTAAATATACAGAGCAGAACATTATAGTTAAATACTTTCTTTTGGAATGTCACTTTTTCTATCTGAAATAACACACTAATAATTGATTAAGAACATGTTAAAAAGGTAGGTAGTGATTTGTAGCTACAGGACCAGAGCACAAAAGTACATGTTTAAATCTTATGTTCATTAGATCCACAAATATATGTTCCTTCTATGCTAAGTGGCGTTAATGTCTAAGAACCCAGCCTTTAGGCCTGGGGCTGCTTCCCAATCTACTGCTGGAATTCCAGATTGTGGCACTGTGCTGAAACATGAGTTCAGTTACCAAATATAGCTGAGTGTAGTAAGAGGCCAGATGAGGGTCTGAGGGCACAGTTGCCTCAAAGTGACCACGGACCAAGCAGCCTCTAATGGACAGGCAAAACCAAACTCTGGTCTCCTAGAAAAGAAGAAATGTTCATCTGAAGTTCATCACCTTTCCAGAGGCTTCAAGTACTGAAAAGGTCTGTACAGTGTATCTTACTATACTTCCTTGTAGGACAACATTTTAAAGGTTTAGAGGGAAAAAAACAAACTAGAAATATAGCAGTAGTTTTCCTTTGAAGCTATGATACCATTTACAAGGTGACTGACTTTTCTTTCAGTTAGAGGGGAAAAGTAATATGAGATGTTTAGTTTTGCCATAAACAGGTAATTTATAAGATTTGAATGCTGGCTTTATCTCCACCCATACTGTCAGACAACCACCTTTTCTATTAGAACCTTAGGCAAGCTAAATCAGTGCTATCGATTACAAAAGGATTATATGTGTTAATGGAGCCAAAGCTGTCAAGATTGTGTGTGTCTTATGTTTCATAGCAAATAAAAATACACTTATCTCGACCCTCATCTAGGATAAAACTAAAAGCTGATGCCTTAAAATGATAGGTTCTAGTAACACTGTAAGTTGTTGATTATCCTTTCAAAGGATTTTTAAAGTAACTCCCAGGACATAATTAAGTCAGTTGACATAGTAACAGCAGGTATTTTAAATTATGACTGTGCATAAAATACACATATTGTTTTAGAAGATAAAACATAGTAAAGGAAACTACAGTATAGTCTCTGGAGTCCAGTTAAATTTAAATATCACTATCTAATTTTACACTGTGATTTTTTAAATTTAATTAAATGTATTGGTACAATTTAGGTGTATACAGTGATCACATTCATCATAGGGAATTTGTACCTGTGCTTGATGTATCCTGTTTTGTCTTTTTTTTCTCCCATTTCCCTCCCTTCCTCTTAAACAACTCCAATGCCCATCAACCAATGAAAGGAAACTGTGTTTTTTTTAATTACACATGAAATTGTCTTCCATCCTATATATGATGTTGATACAGAATGATTTCAGGCTCATATTACATTTTAGCATTTACTAAAAATACTAATTGCCTTCTACGATGAATATTGTGAACAAACTAAAGCCTATTTCTTGGTAATACTGTATTTCGTTATATGATAAAAATATAAAACTATTCAAAATCTATTTAGTCATGTACATACAGAAGTTAAATTCCTTTTACATGATAAAGATACCTTCAAATTTTTTTCTCAAAGAACTTGAATATTCACCTTAATAATTCAGATTTTTAAAGTCAATCTCTTAAAATAACTATTAACAGCAACAAGGCTTATGAGATTAATCTAGCCAATGTCTGCTTTGTAAGTAAACGATAACACATTCCTGGAACTCCAGTTAATCCTCTCTCAACCTGGCCTTAGTATGGAGTGGGGTCTGTGTCTCAGGGGCACTGTGTCAGCTATCCGTTCGGCATCTCTTTCGCTGTTAAAACTGAATATTGAAACGGACCTGATAACACTCACAACAGAATGAAGGTCTAGATTACACTAGACAATTACAATCATTTCAATTTATTTACCTTGTTTGGAAAAAAAAAAAGACTGTAAGAGAAAACATTTTTCATGTTTATGGAGACATCTGACAAGCTTTTTAAAAGATACCAACTGAAATCTGTAAGACCAAGATAAGTCTCTGCTTCTTTCACATGGTGTGTGTGGAGGCTATTAAAGGATACTGCAATCTGTGAGTGCTGGCTAGGCATTCAAACCATCTAAAGGTAATAGCTCATCTTGATTAAATTCTAGAAAGAAAATCTAGGAGTAGACAGAGAAGCTCTAACTATAATTTGTAACTGCTAAATCATCATTTCAGAAAATATAGAAACAAATTCAGTAAATAGATTTTGACTGTAAGCAAGAAATGAATACACTAGATGTAAAGTATAGATATCAGACTTTTGCAACTGATTCAATATCATGGGCAAACCTGATAAAAAAGACACCAAGACTCCAAATATTTTTCCTGTAAATATTCACATAGCTATTGGAGCATTAAATTCACTATTATGATTCTATCTCTGAAGTGGAGATAAAATATTGTATTTGAAGGGATATTTATAACTGTAGACTGAATATGATGTATATTCCTGGAGTGTAATGTATATTCCTAGAGGTTAAGAAGGAAAAGAATCCTGTATATTTAATAAAACTACAAAATTGTCATGTGTTCTTTGCATCAAATGCAAGATTTTATGAATTTTTCATGATTGACTTTAGCCCTACATGGGAGGAGAGAGGGGCAATTTGCAGCAAAAAGAACATAATTGAAACAAAGGAAAGGAGAGAGAAAGGAATCAAGGAGCCAGTAGGCAACAGATCTAATCTAGGGTTCAGCCATGCTTGCAAACAAAATTAAATTGTCAAGTGTTTTAAACTTTGATTTTCATTGTAAAATATTTGCCATATTAAATCTTTTAATCAACAGTTTGTATTTTTAGTGATTGATTGAATATGAAAATGAATAAACGAAACTGCTAAATTTAAAATCACTTATATTAATGCTTTTATTCCAAAGATTATGAAAAAAGCAACAAAAAATTCTCTTCACACGTCCCACCCCTCAACTCCACCACTGCCTAATCCTGCCACAGAGACAATCATGGTTAATTGTTTGGTTTCTGTTCTTCTAATCATTCATATATCTATTCCTAGCTACACGTACCTTTTAGGTGATACTGAAACGTTAATGGCCCTGCCTGGTCTCTCCAAAGTACCTGACAATGGAGGCAAATGACATTGAGTGACCTTTGGAACCTGTCAGCCTTTTTCTAATATCAAGCATTTTTCTTCCAAAAGAATAACACCTCTTGAGTGTCTCTAAAAATATTCCTTGAATAGAATGCAGAAGGTCTCCCTGATCAAATTCTTAAAGTAATTACCCATTATAGCCCCAATGGGAAAAGAAAAACTTTGCAGTTAAATGAAAGTTTCAGTCCTGAGTCTGCCACTTCCTGATGGTTCAAATTTGGCCAGGTAGTGAAACTTTATTTATTTATTTATTTATTTATTTATTTATGCTGTAGTTTTGGTGACAGAAATAATAAAACAGAAAAATAGTATCTGTTCAATAAATAGGTCTGTGAAAGCATATAAGTCAAAAGCTGTGTGGTAGAAAGTCCTCAGAAAGCCCAGCTTTTTTGTTTGTAACCTTTCCCCTAAACTCGACTATTTCTTTTGCATATATATTATGTCTTGTCCTCCCACATTCCTTCAAAGCAAGAAACTCATTTCAACAGTCAATGGGGCCTTTAAAGGAATCATACAGTTAAGGTACCCACAAGAATCTTTCACTGCCAGCATCAGAGATCCAGTTGTCATAGGTCTGATTTTCAGATTTTCTATGACCAAAAGTCAACAACTTTAAAAGCAAAGGTTATTCATAATTTTATAATTTGTCTATCTTTTCTACCATCTTCATATTCATATGCGTATATGACCATATACACTTATATGTGTTTTACATATTCAGGAATTCAAAAATAAACGTTTTCCAAATATTAGGATAGCACTTCCAAGATAATTTAAGGTACAAAATTATATATGTCAGATTATGTGAAATGCATACTCAATAGAAATTCTTCAGTGAAAATGTACTGTTATGTGCTATATTTTACAGTATACCAGGAAAATCCAGATGATATAACCTTAGGGAAAAATTGTGAGCAATAAATTTACAATTAAAAGTAATCTATAAATTAAGTGGCATAAAAATTCTTTAAGAAAAAAAAATTCTTTAAGAAAGAATCAAACACACATAGGAAGTTATGAAAACAGGTGACGCTGGAAGTTTACATTTAAAGGGCACAGGGCTGAGAATAAGCCAGGGCCTGGTAAGCACCTGTTGACAGCTGGAGATGGACAGGGATCTGGAATGTTTGGTGGCATTTGCCAGCCCTCCCAAAACTTTGCTCTACCACATGAATACGGAAAGTTAAGGGTCTGACATTATGAATAAATACCAAAATTCACCTGGGAGGATTCGCCTACAGAGCACCATGAGGTGACACATGGCAGCTGCCCTTATGGCACAATTTGAAGGAAATGAGAGCACCATTAACCTGAGCATGTCCTCCCCTCTGATAGTGGGCCTTCCATAACAGCCATCATCTGCAAAACTTGCTATTAATAGTAAATGTGTATTTTATTTTATTTTACTTTATTTTGTCTCATCTTATTTTACCCTAACATCTTTGGAAGGTAAATTGAGACTGTGTGCAATAAAAGCATAATATAATTGCTCATCATTAATCATGAAATTATGCTAGGTATAGGAAATAGAAAATCAAAATTTTTTTTCATTTTATTACTTATGTTTTTTCTCTTTCTAGAGTGTTAACTCAGGATGGGGATGTGACTCAGTGGTAAAGCACATGGTTAGCATGTGTGGGGCCATGGGTTCAAATCCCAGTCATGAACAGACAAACAAAATAACTAACAAGTATTAGTTCCTTAGAGCAGAGAAGTCATCTTACAGCTATGCCCCCAGCTCTTAAGAGAGGACCCCAGCACATAGAAGACACTCAATAATCAATAATTCAGCACTGACTGAGATAATATAGAAAATAAGAAAATACATATACATTTTCAGTCAAAATATTTGCATTTCTATGATGTTATATATAGAAAATTCCAAAAATATCACCAAAAAAAATCAGAATTCACCAAAATTAAAGGTTAAAAAATCAACATACAAAACTCGACAGCATTACTGTGTGCCAACGGCAAATCATCTGAAATAGAAATCAAACAATCTCACTTACCATCACTATAGACATACATGATAGATAAATAATAGATGATAGATGGATGGATGGATGGACAGACAGACAGAAGATGTAGAAATATATTTTGTCAATGAGGTGAAAGATCTCTACAGTGAAGATTATAAAATATTGAAGAAAGGAGTTGAACAAGATACAAAAATGTGGAAAGACATCTGTGTTAGTTACTTTTCTCTTGATGCTGAAACAGAATACTTGACTTCCAGAATTAAGGAAGGAAAGATTTATTCAGCTCACAATTTGTGGAGGTTTCAGTTCACACTGGGCTGGTTCCAAGGTAGGATGGCACAATGGCAGAGGGCAACAGTTCAAGGCAGCAG